CGCGTAGTGCGTTATATGAAAGGATATCCAGGACAAGGTATATTGTTCCGTTCTGATAGCGATCTGCGTCTATATGCTTATTGCGACTCTGATTGGGCCAGCTGCCCACTGACACGATGGTCGTTGACTGGCTACTTTGTTCTGCTGGGGCAATCGTCGGTTTCTTGGAAAACGAAAAAACAACATACCGTGTCGCGCTCCTCTGCAGAAGCCGAATATCGTTCGATGGCTGCGACAAGCTATGAGCTGAAGTGGATGAAGAAACTTCTTCTGTCTTTTGGGGTGGCGCATGATGAACCAACGCGATTGTACTGTGACAATCAGGCAGCTTTGCACATAGCCGCGAATCTAGTGTTCCACGAGTGGACAAAGCATATCGAGGTTGACTGTCATTTTGTTCGCGATGAGATACGGCGTGGGAACATTGTCACTTGCCATGTTCGAACCACAAAGCAGTTGGCTGATATCTTGATGAAGGCTCTGGGAAAAGAGAAATTCGTATATTTTCTTAGCAAATTGGGCATTCGGAATCTGCATGCACCAATTTGAGGGGGAGTATTGGGAAACCTAATCCCCACGTCTCCTAGATGTATTTGAATAGTAGTTTCCCAGATTTCTTGGGGAACTTGCAGTTAGTAGAACTTGTAATTAGCAATTTCCTACTGAAACTGAATCTCCTCTCCTAAATTCAGGCGTAGGAAATTGTATATATATGGTATACCTTGTATAATGAACATCAACAAATTCCACATAGTTTTTTCTCACTTTGGGGTCAGAAGAGTACCCACCTCTCAAGACGTATGCTTCTCTCAAATTGTTTGATGTTATTGTTTTGATGCTTCCATGAATTCTGAATTTCTGTTTTACTTTTTTTTTTTGGTTGTAAATTTGTAATTTGTTGATCTTTTCTTTCTGGACGATATTCTGTCAATGCTAATTCTGAGGGACCTTATTGTTATTTAATCCCTTTCTGCAATTTCCGTGTATAATTTCCCTCTTATATGTTTAGGGGCTGTGGAAAAGGGTGGGATTTGGCTATTCACCATGAGTTTGCTTACGGGAAGTTAATCCTTTTTTTTTTTTGAAAAGGTAAAGTATATTCATTCAATCAAAAAGAGAACCCATGTGCATCAAGGATCTGTACAATGGGAATTTACATGAAGGCCTCTGATTTACAGAAAGAGATTATTCATAATAATAAAAAAAAACATGACTTTCCTTTAAACAGTCTATGCACACCAACCTAAGACAAAATTCTCCCATTAGAATAGCTTTTAGCTTATCTTCAGATTCGAACTTATTTAAAATTCTTGAATTTCTCTCTGATCAAATAATCCATATTACAGCATTAACAGTGGTCTTCCACACAATATAGCCTTCTTTACTCAATCCTTTCAGTTGCCAGCTCCTGAAAAAATTAATGACAGATATTGG